GAATCTCTTCGTCAAAAGGCTAAAACAGGTTCCCTGCTCAGGATCCTTGGTTCAAGGATGCTGGAGTTTCAATAGCTCCAAACAAACCTGCAAGGCGTGGTCGCTTCGCTTCATACGTAAAGTGAGTCCTTGGAGCCTTTGGTCGAGTCTTCAAAGCTACATGTGCTTCCAAGCCAGCCTATAATCCATCGCAGCGGCTGAAGCATGCAAGTCCGAACCCTGGTAGCAATTTAATTTGAGAAGTTTCCGAGAAAACACCCTTTCACAAATCCCTCTCAAGCCTGAGTCCAAAACTCTGTGGAACGAACTCTTAGACCCTCCTGAAACCCGATGAAGCAGGTTATGAGCCCCAACTTATGATCCTGCATTCCTCATCGTTGGAACATGAGGCGTCGATCGATGATTTGGAGACGGCTCGGCGAGGGCTTCCCGGCTGACGGCAGATCTTTTTTGGGCTTTTCAAGTGGCAATTTCAATAGCATGACGGTATGTTCTAGTTAGTCCTTCGGATCCCTTCAGTTTAGCTACTTTTTAAGATTCTGCGACTAGGGCTTGGGTTCTCGGGCTTACTTTGGGAGGTGGTTGTGGCCTCTAAAGCCCGACGTGATAAGTGCTTGTAAGTCCCTGGCAACTCGAAGTGCGGAATCACCCGAAACCCTAGACCCTGAACCATAGACTGTCAAACTCCAGACCCCAAAGCATCAAAGTCCGGACACTCTTAAGAGACTCTGTAAGAACCCCTTTGGATCCTAGAAGGCCCTTGTAGTAACCCTTCAGCAGCCTTGTAGAAGAGCTAGAAGCACAGCTTGCACGGATGAACTCTCGTCCTCGACCTGCCTGAGATCAAGTTCAAGCTGGAACTGCCCCAATCTGTAAGGTGCTAGGGGCTTCAGGGGATCCTTCTGCTTTTAAATGACGCCTTCTGATTGGCATGAAGAGTCAGTAACTGTTTCTGATGTAAGCCTTTAGTATAAGCCTCACGCTTATTGAAACCCTTCACGCTTTGTGAAGTTAGGGCGGGGTTTTGGGAGAAGCTTAGGAGAGTTGGAACAGAGGGCTGGCAATGGTTCCATTAGGGGGTTCTTCTAATATGGGTAGTTGTCTAAACTAGGGTCGCTCCTTTTGACCGGGGGCGGTACTATTTTGGGGACCCAAAACAGGGACCCTTTTTTAGAGAACTACCCATATCGGTGAGTGTATGTAGGTCTCCCTCCCCAGGAACACTGGCGACTGACGTGAGTCTATTGCTTGTGGGCTTCTGTGTGATACGATGACACGGCTAGTTGAAGAGATGCTCATCGCTTCTCGTTTATATCCTCTTACTCTGCGACCATGTTCCTGAACAATACATTCTCCGAAAGTCGTCCACCTCTAAGCCCGACTGGAAGCACCTAGGAAGCACGAATCTAACCTATCCTCCCGAGAGTAGTGGCCGAGGTCGCTGCTTCAATTCCAGCCCCTGCGATGCCCGACCAGTCCGCTCTGCGCCTTCTTTCCGATGACAAAGTTGTTTGCTGTAGAAATACTTGTTAGATTCCGTAGAGCAGTTCACGAAGAACCTTCATCGAAACTGCACGTTGTAGTTTCGTGGGGTGGCACTGGGACTTGAAGAGTGTGTTTTTTCCACAACGCGCTTGCCTTTTCAGCATCTGCTTTGAGAAGGCGTGTGCTGAGCTGTACCGCAGGATTCAGAGGCCACATTTGGAAGCATTCTGTTGTTGTTGTAGACCGCACCCTGAACCAGCTGCAGGTACCTGTAGCTCCACATGACAAATAGCATCTACGGCCCTTGAAATGCTGGGTAGTTGGAGCAACAGCAGGTCGAGCTTCGGGGAGCGTTCTGAATCTAAGGCATGCACTGCGTGTGGCCAGCCCGCCGCGACGGGCTGCTGTGCGACTGCGCTGCAGTCGACGTTGAGGGCAAGGGGGGCGAGGGTTTGGGGGAGCGCATGATTAATGGTCAAAAGCTTACAGTTGCAAGTGGCCCTAAGTGGGGTTGATGATACTTGCAACCTTAAGATTAAACTGCTTGCAACCTAGCCTACTGATTACAGGCTTCCACGGTCCTTCGAGCATGGTTTGGAGGTCTGGTGCCCAAGACCCAGGTGATTGAAAATGAACTGCCGACAGCCCTCACACCGACAAGGAACTCCCCATCAGCCCTAAACCCTGAAACCGTAAGACATATGATGGTTAGAGTTGACCCTGATGCCAGGGACGGTCACTGTCATATTGGCCGCAGAACACAACTCCTACATGACGTGTACCTCACCAGCAGCCCAAACACTGCCAACAGATGATAATCAACCGTTTAATGCACAGATCTGCGTGAAGCCTTAAACTTGTCTGCCTCCTCTTGTGGGGCTTAGGGGGCTTTTTCGTTGCTACCAAGGCCCGAATCAGAGAGCCCAAAGAACCAAAATCCCTCAGACTTGAAAAACCCTGAAAGGCTGATCGCCAAGCGCTGAACACTCAAAACCCTAAACCCTGCCCCTGAAGGTTGAAAACCATGAGCCAGAAACCCAAACAAGCCATTATCTTTGCTTTCCCCGAAAGCGAACGCCTCCTGTTCTGAGGCCTCTTCCGCCGCCTGAATGTGCCGACCAGGGCTCTGAAATTGGAGCCTGGGATTGGTTTGTCTGCTTTGCTTTCGAAGGCTCAGGGCCTTATAAGAGCCTTAGAGTTGATCGATGTTTAGGGCTTGCATTTCAAGTGAGTCCGGTTCGTGGAATGTAACAAGTCGTAGGTTGTCGGAGCTTTTGTGTTCTTGTGCTAGGGTCCAGCGTGCGCTGGCTCTGTATCCGACGACCCTAAAGCCAACTAAGTAACCCACCCCAGGTCCCCTTCTCCATCTCAAGCTATGCCCTGAATCATAATAATAGCCCAAGGCCTCTGTAGGGCCCCTGGAACCTTACAGTTCACCGAAGCTGGCCCAAGGAGAGTCGGAGCATGGGTTAAGAACGGGTACAGTCGTGCTAGGACTCCTTATCATCTACCTCAAAGCGCCTTAGGAGAACGTTAGGATAGTGATGTTTCAATGCCTTGGCCCCTAAACCTTGAACCCTAAACCCAAACTGCCTCACATTGCCATTACGTCCGGAATATATATTGTACCTTCTCGGACGAAGCACCTTTTTGGGCACCCTGGCCGCCCTAGCTTTCTCAGCTATGAGCCTGCGGGAGGCGTAAGCGTTTCAGGGTATAGAACGTAGAGTTCAGGTGCCAGGTCTCGAGATGTTTCAGGTGAGCGACTTACATGGGTACATTTTGGAGGCAGTGAAGCAAGTAGCCACCAGCCTAAACCCCTATTCCGTACGCCCAAAACTATTTCCCGAAGTCTCTAAATCCAGAGCCCTACATAGCCCTTGAGACTATTCTTATACTAGGGAACTCAACAACAGTATTGTCTACTATTCATGCATCTATTTTCGGCTTTTATAGGGTTTCACGTGGTGTGTCTAGCATTGTAGGGCCCACTATAGGGTATTTTGATGGTGGAAGACACTTGCTCTGGGGTCGGTGCGCAGTAGCGCAGTAGATGCAGCAGACACTGCATGGAGGCATTGAGTTGAGAATCCCAGGCTGGTCCCCACATATCCCTATAAACCCTATAATCATCCGCAATCCCCGCAAGCCCTAAATCCAAAACTTAACCCTGACCCTATCAAGCCTATCAAGATGCTTACAAACAAGCCCCTATAACCTAAACCCTAAACCTTAAAACCCTATAACCTTAAACCCAAAACCCTGAACCCTATAATCCTAAACCGCCTAAACCCTTCAAAGCGTATCAGAAAGCAGCGCCCCGGGCCGAGATCTTGGCCTTCGACCGACCCCACCGTGCCCCCCGCGCCGTGGACTTGCCGCCGAGAACGGAGCTCTACCGGGGTGTTCCGAAGACTTGAAGAGTTTTCCTATACTGTTGATGATATAAATCCTGCAATTCTTTATAAGGAGGGCTCTTTGGTTAAATCCTGGTAGTTTGGGGTTATAGTGCTAATAACTGCTAATTAATACATAATAATATGGAGGAATACAATGGAAGTTCCTCTATCAAGGCTTCCTTTCAAGGGCTTCTATAAGAGTTCCTCCCCGTTCTTGGCCTATGCCTCTGCCTTATTGTGCTTAGTTGAGGACTGCCCCAAACCGCAGCGATCGTATGAGTGTGGATTCATGGCTTAAGGATGCTTGACGGACAAGGTTCTGTGACAAGGGTTCTGTTTGGGCTCTCTTGCAATTATGTAAGTGTTCTACAATTACAAGGGTCTTGTGTTTGTTGTTTTAAGCATTTTGGAGGGTCTCGGGACTTCGTCTGTAGGTTAGTTGCAGGGCCAGGCTACAAGCCGAGAAGTACAGCAATCGCCAAGAAGGGTACAAATGCTTGCTAGCTTACGATGGTTTTTCACGTAGCTTCAGGCAGGGATCATGTAGGGATTGTGTCGCATTGACACAGTGCACAGGCCCGGCACATGCAGAGAATCTGTTGTTTCTGGGCAACCTCAGCACAGACTCCCATGCACAAGCCCTAGGCCCTAGACTCTCAAGCCCTTCAAAACGTGATGTACTATGGAATATGCATGATTACGAAGGGCTGACTGTAACGCAGGCCTTGCATATGCATCTACAGTCCCGAAGTCGCCTCAAGCCTAAACCTTGCGACTGGACCGAAGCTCCTGCAACTACCAGGCCCCAAGCGCGGCCCGAGGGCTCAAAGCTCGGGCTGGATGGCTACATGAGAACCGACCATTTGCATAGCTTAGAAAGGTAACGTGTAAATATGTGATCATATAAACATGTCTATACTCGCTTACGTATGCATGCATGTACGCGTGCGTGTGTGTACAATTACATACATGTCGATTGCCCATGTTTGCTTGATTGCACGGTATGCGTATGCTTCTATGCACATAAGCATCGATTCTGATATTTATCCATGCACGGATGTCTGAGCATGTGCAACTTTGTCCACGTATCGCCTTAGCCGCTAGCCCTACTTCGCCATGCTTCGTGTTTGGAGCTCTTCTGGGGAAGAGCTGGCCTGCATGCCTCTGGCGCAAGTGGGAGACGTGCGAACTCTGAAGCGCCACCTTCGCTCGACATGTGGTTTGCCCGCATGTTTCCAGAAGCTGTTCCGCATCCCAAGTGCAGTGAGGAAGGACTTGAATGATGATCTCCTGTCTGTGTTCAAGAGCCTCGGCCAGGCTATAGATGTGCAACTGGTCGCAGTGACCTGCTCAGATGATACGATACTGTCTCTCGAAATTTTGGAAGCAGTGAGGAACTCTGAGTTGTCAGCTGCACGGTTGTTGTTTGAAGCTGGTGCCAATACGGAATGTCGCGACCCTCATGGCAACACGCCACTCATGTTGGCTTCTGCTAACGGCCATATTCAGATGCTATGCTTTCTCTTGGAAGCTGGCGCCAGGTTGAATTCGCAGGATCACAATCAGAAGACAGCGCTCAACCTTGCAGCCGCACACGGTTATGCTGAGATCGTATCCCTGCTGCTGGAGGCTGGGCTTGACAAGGATTGGCAAGATGTGCATGGTACTACTCCTCTCATTTCGGCATGCATCGCCCATCATGTGAGAGTGGTTGAGGTGCTCCTGGCAGCAAAGGCGTCCACAGACAAGATTCAACAGCATGGCAGCACTGCTCTCATGTGGGCATCTGCGAAGGGTCACACTCGGATTGTCAGTTTGCTCTTGGAAGCCCGTGCCTCAACGGACGAGGGGGGCGTGGACAGCACTGCTCTTATCGATGCAGCCATAAACGACAACATCGACAGCGTGTACTTGCTGCTGAATGCCCGTGCAGCTCCGTGGACAAACACGGCAAGACTGCACTCGCCTGGGCATCTTCTCTGGGACACGACGAGGTTTCGGACTTGCTGTTGACCTTTGAAAGCAGACTTGCACATGCGTCTGCATGGCCACTGGCATAAGCAACTGTTGTTCAGATCGGAATGTGAATCGGAATGGTGAATTTTGCACCTTCCCGTGCCGTAGATGAAGACTGTCCAATGGCAAGTCCTTCTGGTGGTTCCATGTTGGGGACCATCGTTTTCTTCGCAATACGGCGGCCCAAGCTATCAGGAACAGGACTCACCTTCGATGTGCTGAGGTGCACTGTTTCTGTAGAGAAATTGAAATGCCTTCGCATTTCCTCTTGCAGTACAATTCAATTCAACGCATGCTACCACAATCGGAATAGTATTGGCGTTACCAGTGCGGGTCTGATTATGACTATGCATCGTACAAAACCCTACTTTCAAAGCCGTAGAGCTGCCAGCAATCAGCAACCACAGCCCGCCCAGAACCCTAATTCCCCAGTTTGGGCCCCGTACAGAAAAAGGGATGCTGGCTGATGTGGCAAGTCGTTGAAGTTGCACGTATTCCCGAGAAATTCGCACGGCGAGCAATATGTACAGCATGGAGAAGCCGTGGACGTCGGGAATCCCTCTTGGCCCGCCTGCAGTGACTTCTGTTGTGCAGCGCCGTCTACGCCTTAAGGTCCTGACCTAGGAAGCAAAACTGAAGCTTCGTACATGAGGCTTGGGGGTCCAAGACATTTTTTGGATGCCGATGGTATCCACGACCTAGACAGAACCACACACGGCAGAACCGCTGGCGACTAAACCAGTGAAACGAGGGGGTGGACCGCAGTAAGATAGATAGATATATATATATATATATTTTATTTATTTATTTATGTATGTATGTATGTATGTATGTCCGTATGTACATATATATATATATGGGTGTGTGTGTGTGCGTGTCTTTGTGTAGATATATACACATATGCATATATATATATATATATACTCATTTATTTCTTTAGTTTCATTATACAGTACAGTATAGTTGTACAGTACAGTATAGAATAGTATAGTATAGTATAGGACAGTACAGTACAGTGCAGTACAGTATGGGATAGTATAGTACGGTATAGTAAAGCATCGTATAGTATACCTTCAATAGTATAAATATAAGAGAAGTGGAGTTTATTGTTGTGGCTTGGCAGGTGCTTGTGCAGGTGCTCCGGGGGGTCAACGACATGCTTTATTTCAGCTTGTATTGGGAACTTTCGGGAATGCAGGTGAGCCGACGTTTGACAGTTTCATGTTCGACGTGTACCGTTGAGACTTGGGGGATGTTGGCTGGCTGGCATGCAAGACGCATCGCAGCACCTCTCGACGTGCTGAAACTGCCAGGGCATAGGATCTATTTGGGGTCTGGGAGTTTGGGCGAGGGTTCCGGATTTCGGACCAAGTTTGTTTGGGATGTTGGGTTCGTTTATTTTGGCTTTACGGTGCTGCGCTTGAGATCTAAAGTCTAAAGACGCGGGCCTGGCACATCCTGCTGCGGGGTTTTGGGCTTCAATCTGAAAAAGATGTTCCCATTTACTCTACTCTAAACACCAATTTATGGGCTCTCGGCAGATTAGCCAGCATGTCCCTAACAAGACCCCGAAGCACCCAACGCATCCAGGCCGTAAACTCCAACCTTGGGATTTCTGGTATCGCGGATACTCAGCACTTGCTTGTGTGCGACAGGAGCTACGAATCCGCTGGCAAGATCCGCTGGCAGATGAGGTCAGCAAGACGCACTTGCTTGAGTGTCTGAGCCGTCAGACCTAAACCCTTATAAAGCCCTGTAGCTCCAAGAAAGTAGCATGAGTTCATGGGCACCGCCATGCCTGCGATTCCTAAATAGCATAGCCAAAGGAAGCTTTAACATGGCTGGCACTTCTTGTCTACATAAAGGGTTGGAGCTGTTTTCAACCCTGACGACCTACACTGAAACCCGCACCGTATCTTGCATTGGGATGCAGTGGTTAGGTACATTGCGAGTGTGGCTGGATGATTTGGATGATGACCGTCAGCTCGCCGTGACATGTGGAAATAAGGTGTTTCCAAGGTGTATGTTACAGGTTGTTAGGTTGAATTTAACCAGCTTCTACAACCGGGATACATCAAGCGAGGTGAGAACAAGCTTCCTTGATAACTATACCCATCAACCTCCAAGTCAGTGCACACTGTCTCAACTGAAGGCAAACGCAAAGCCAGTGAGCCTGTCAGTCTTTTCGTACTATCCGTTGGGACCTGAAGACCTAAGCGACCTAAGCCTTAAGCCATTCTGTAGCCATTGTGCAACCCTGTGGAGCCCTGCAAGAACCCTGTGGGTTTTTGCTTGCCAGGACAGCATCACTCAACAGGAGCGCGAGCAGTCCGGCTCCCAGGGACGCGCAGGCGGGGCCCTACAGGGCCCAAGCGCACCATGCAAACAAGGGCGAAATATTCTTGGTTTCTACATAGTGCCTATGTGATTAGACTAGAATCGATCCCAGAAGCCTTTGCTGATGTTTTAAGGGTTGTTTAGTAGGGTTTGAAAGCACTTGCTGGTTATTGATGTTTGAGGGCGTTCTCGGATTTATGGGTAGGAAATCAGCACATTTCGACCTTAGGATTTGGGGTTCAGGGCTTTGTGAGAACATGTGGCAATGTCTTACAAGCAGGGTCTTGTGGCTCTTGAATGAAAAACGGAACGGATTCTCTGGAGACTGCTTTTCCTTAAAACCTGACGAACAGCACGGGAACCTGAAGGCTCCTGCCGTGACATAAGTGATGAGAATAGGGTTTTGGAGATATGTTTTGCGGTTATACATACATATATATATATACATATATATATATAAGGGAACCCGCAGGAACAGAGACTGGTAGTCATTCAGGCCTCTACATAAGGGTGCTTGTGGAAGGAACCGTCACCTGCGAGTACTACGACCCTGCAAGCCTCGCCATGGCTCCTCGGTGCTGGGTTGACGGCGATGCTAGGTAATCCATTCGGATACTGTATTTTATGATATTTACCGTCACATTGGATCTATGAAGATCTTAATTTACTCAAACCCTAAGCCCATAATTGCAATCAATGCCTTTCGAGGGTTTAAGGGTCGCCCTGCTTGTTGTCTGGGAAGTAAGACTTCATTATTCCGGGGCTTCTGTTTCAGCATCATGGGATCTATATGGTTTAGGATACAGTACAGTGACATCGTTTAAGGCTTCTTAGGACTTTTTTGGGAGTCCACAGAAAGCATGACTCTAGCTCGGGCTTGTACAATGGTTAGGCCTTAGACTTGAGGTTTACGACCTCAAGGCTTGGCTTCCGGTTTTTAGGGTTCCCCCCCCACCGCCGAGGCTTTTGGCAGTTTTCTCGATGGCGGACGGTTAGCCTTGACCCTTCAATCTACTTCTGTATTGTGCAGCATCGGATGCAGTGATTCAAAGAGTAGAACTATGACAAATCCCAAAGATAGTTGCAATGAAGGCTCCATATAAAGTTTCGGAGCTTAGTGCTATCCTAACTTCAGACCGTAGGAGTTTATAGGGGGGTTGAGGGAGTCTGTCGCAAGGAGCTCTATGCGATGGCCATGTATCCAGTGTCTTGGCAATTTACCTGAGGTTCGACAAGAACTCCTGTTCGTGCTTCGCTTGCTGAAGTGCTGATTGCTGAAACTTTCGTACCAAACTCCAAAGGAGTCTCTGCGTGTCCATATCAAAATATCATCGTGAACTTGGTTCAACCAACTCCAAGGCAATTCTGCATGTTCAGCAGCTGCCAACTTGCCTTTGCAACTCTGACCTCCCTGAGCCGTAACCCCTAGTGCAGAGCTGTGAATGCTTGTTTTGATGCTATGATATGACCCTGATCTCGTCATAAAGTCCTTTAGATACACCATACTAAACCCGAGATTCGTCATTAAACCCTATATCCGGGCTTGCTTGTGCACAACAGCCTTTCAACCTCCTGGTCCTGCATGAGGAATCCTTCACGGCTTTTAAGGTCCACTTGGACCCTGAAGAGCCTCCCTTTCTCGGGTTCCTTATTATGATTTCTTTATATATATATATATGTCCTCAAAACGGTAGGTTATTTGGGCTTAGGCAGACTTTGAGGTTCAGGACACTTCGATATCGGAGCACTTGGACGCCCACCTTCCAAGTCCTCATGAGCAGCAGGTAAATTCCCCTCCGAACCTTCGACTGTTAGCCCCCAAACCCCTAAACCTTAAGCCCTAAACCCTCAAACTAAGGGTTCTGCTTAAAGCCTCAAACGATGCTGCGAACTCTCATATCCCATGCGAGCACAGAGCCCCATGATACTTCTGGGGTCCTGAATCCGTACCCATACTATTCTTGAGGGTTCCTTACTGCAACCCGAGTATACCCCAAAATCCGATTCTAACTATGAACGCTCCCGATAAACCCAAAGCCCTGCCCGATGAGGCAGTACTCCAGCCCAGCACCAGTAAGACCCTCAAAAATGCGTCGATGTCTACAAGCTGTTCGCCAAACTCTTCCCCTAAGGGCTCAAAATAGCCGAAAATCCCTGCATTGTATGGTCTTTGGGCCCAAAAGCCTTAGAATATGAGTCCTTAGAGCCACTTAGGGTTCTCAAAATACGATCAGAGCAAGCCAAGGGTTCGAATAAAATGGCAGGCCGGAATAGGTAGGTACACGAATCAAATTGCTCCTACACAACTGAATTTCGAAACACACCTAGGGGGGGCCCCAAAAAAACAATGCAAGCCCCAAAGTAATCTTCCCGAAACCCTATAAACCCTAAACCCTCAAAAGAACCCTTCCAACGGATGCCGAAGCTCCGGGGAGGTGGACGACTTCAAGATGCTGCGCGGTGGTCTCCTGCTGCTCGGTCGCTGGGAGTTCGATGCTTCCTGATCTTGTACGTCCAGGGTCAAGCCCAAAAACGTAAACCGTTTAGGGTTTGGGGTTTGGGGTTTAGGGTGCGGGTCCGGGGCTTGGGATTCAGGGCTTCGGATTTCTTCGGGCTTCGGGTCCAGGGCCGGGTTTAGTGTGTTTTGGGCTGTCACTTTATCATGGGGCAATGCGTGGAACCTTTCTGTAAGCCCTAGTTCTGGTTTAGAGTTTGGGGCCTACTACTTCCAAGTACCACCCCTCCCCCCCCAATAGCTTGAAGCAATAATTCAAGAGGGATCCCCTGTCTATCTATCTATCTATCCATCTATCTATCTATCTATCTATCTACATATTTATCTATCTGCCGACCTGTCTATCCATCTGTCTATCTATGTATTTCTATATGATAATATGTATTTCTATATTCTATATGTATGTACGCATGTATGTATGCATGTATGTATGTATGTATGTATGTATGTATGTAATTAATGTATGTATGTAATTAATGTATGTATGTATGTATGTATGTATGTATGTATGTATGTATATATAGGTGTACAGTTACTGAAACCTCGAATACCTCGAAACCTTTACTAACTGTCCAGGTCCCTATATGAATTAGTCGTTGAGGTTTAGACCCAAGAAGCCCCGAGGCACCTGATTGGCGAGTTTCAACTGTGGTGGAGCTGCTTTGGCCGCAAAAAAGAAACATGTTATCGCCATTTGGCAGATTCTGTAGTAAGGTAAGGTGCCTGCTACTTCTTCTTTCCGGCTGTTCTGGCTAGAACGGGTTGATGGTCAGTTTGGCTAACCTCGAATCATGGGTTTGGGTCACTGTTCGGGTAGGGTCCTTAAGGGTTTTGAGGGTCTGGGGGTGATGCGGCGAAGCTTAAGGGTGTATGGCATGGGCAGTGAAGGCCCGCTGTCCCTCCGTGTAAAATGATTGTAGTGGACCGCAAATCGTTTATTTAGGATCCTTCTTATAAGGACCCCAAAATAAGGTACCCTAATTTTCGGAAAGTCCCATATGTTTTTTGTATTTCAGAGCCTGTTAACAGGGTTGTTGATCATGGTCCAAGGCACTGGGCAGTCCTGGGTCGACTGGGTCAGCCTGCAAAGAGATCGAGCTAGATACTGATACATAGGCAAGTGCAAAAAAATCACACGCACATGTATGTAACTGTATGTTACGTAACTGTATGAATGTATGTAGGTAGGTAGGCAGGTCGGTAGATAGGTCTCCAACCAATCGACTCAAAGCTCAAAAATCTTCACGCCTGGTCTCAGGTGCCATCCTTAACTTCACAGACTTCCAGTCCTGCGCCCCCCGTGTGGGCCACTACAGGCACGTATCGGGTGGCTTTTTTCTGAAGCTATTCAAAAAGAGGTACTGTTGAGGGGCCTAAACCTGCATGCAAAGACCCAAAACTGGGATTTGCTCGCACAGCAGAGCTTACATGCGCTAAGGGTTCAAGATGTACTGCTGGCATGGCGCAACGTTACACTTGCGAACTTTGTGTTTGAAGAGATGGTGCTGTTTCCTTTGCTTGTGTGTGACGCGACAGGTGGGGCGAGACTGTTGCCAGACTCGAAAGCCAGAGAATGTGCCTGTTGGCTGCGACTGATGTAGGCCAATCGTAAGACCTCAAACCCCCGAAGTGAATCCCTATACAAACTTTATGGCGATTTTTTAGATAGGACGCTACCAGCCACCGACTGCGTGGATGACAGTTTTACCCCGATGTCGACCCTGAACCCCAAACCTATCCAAACCCTAGGCCCTAGTCCGTGAGAGAACAAACTGTAGACTCTACCCTAATAAGAAACAGAAACATGCAGTCCTATTTCCAAAGGATTCTGGGCTTGTGTCAGAAAGAAGCGAAGGAAACCTCCCGAAGTCAATTTGTGGGTGCCGTGGGTTAGGCTGAACCATCCGCAGTCGGTCGGCGTTCTTGGGAATCGGGTGACCAGTATGGGTGTTTCGATACGCCTTGATGTTAGAGTGTCTCAGGGTTGGAGGATTGCGGTTTCGAGTGGGCAGAGGGTTTGGTGGTGATCTTGCTGGATTCCAAACTGTTGAGGGGATCGGAGAGAGCATCCTCTAAAACGCAACACTTGCCCGTCCTGAAATTACAAAACCCTGTTACAGAATCCATCCGGGAAGCCCTTGAGTGTTGTTTTTCCTCAGCGGATCTGATGTCCTAGACGCCCATCGTCAATCGAGGCGTCGGCGATCTGAATCTAAACCCCTAAGGCCCCCCTATAGTCGTTTGGTTGCTGTGCGGCGTGAGGACTGGGTCAACCAGGCCGGCAACACAAATGCCGAACCCCTGCGAAGGCAAGCACGACAACCTTCAACTGGTTGAACCTGTACCGTCAACAAAACAAGCCCAGGCAAGTGTCTCCAGACGGGTTCTGCGAAGATGCAGTCGCGGTCGCGCTTTGCCCTGCTTCGCGCTCTGCAGTTGGAGCAGTCAAGAGCTTAAGGCCTAGCGGCCTATTGTTTAGGGAAGTGTTTGTCATTAGCTCACGCACTCAATTTTTTGTAGGCTCAATGACAGCAGGCTTTTTTTGTTGTGTAGCCCTTACACAACCCCCCCATTCGTGAGATCCCGGTCATGCCTCATCGAGATTCAGACGGTAGGATGTGGAGGTTTAGGTCTCGATCTCAAGCTCGTCCCAGCTTTTTTGGGAACAGTGCCACCCCTAAACCCTACCCTGGAAGCAGAGCCAGACGAACTCGACACCGAGGAGCCACGAGCCCTAAGAAAGGTAAGCCTCCAACCCAAAGCCTTCAACCCTAAAGCCCGCATGATTCAGCTGTGCTTGGTGTTTGGGGTGAGAGGGGAGGGGGGGGCCTTCGTAGCGGTACTGTCTCATGCTTATCCCGAGACTACGCAGGCGTGCCAAGAACCCTTCAACCTTGAACCCTACTGCACCTTGAACTTGAACTGCCTTATAATTATGTAAAAAGTCTAAACCCAAAACCCGACAAGCCTTCTAGTTCCTGATTCAATGGCCGAGGCTCATGTGCAGGCCGAAAAGCGTGGGAACGGTGCGGCAGAATTTTTTTTGGATTGAAGCTTAGCCAACTTGCAAAGCCTCACTCTGAAGGCCGAAGGCCGACTTCGCCTGAATCCCCCTGAATCCTATAACTCATGCGCCTCCCGATCCTCGTTTGGAAAGCTCCCACACGAAAGCCCTGAAGATAAAGCACCCGCCATGTTTCGGCTTTGGGATCGCGGTTGTTAGAAGCTTTAGAATCCTGCGCGCAGGGTTCAGGATGAAAAGTTGACTTCTGGCTTAAGTGCCCGGGTCGAATGAAGCATTCAGCGCCCCCCCAAGCATGGCAGAGAGTGATGCCATGATGTTCGCGCCAGCGAGTCAAGATCCCCCGGCTCTGAGGCGTAAGGTTTCTGTTTTCACTGTCCTGGCATACCAAAAGTCTCCATTGTAGTTCCTTTTTTGGCTTAACCAATTCTATATTAAGGATCCTAAGAGGTAACCCCCCAAAAAGGAACTACAATGGAGACTATGGGTAGAGCTCCAGGCCCGAGCTCATCTCGGTAAGGCCCAAATCACCCAAGCTTGTCACTTCCAAATTCCCTCTAACCCAGAGTCAGGGAGCCCAATAGCTCCTAATTCCGGGATATAACAGCACCGCCGAAGACGTCTAGAAGCAGACATTCTGTAGGGAGCTTTGCAGCGAAACTGCCCACGAGCTGCACATGCTGCCCCCCTGTGCCTATGCTGACGTTGAGGATGAGACGGTGCTTCTCGGCAGCACGAGGGTGTATCTATGAAAGGGGTCGGAACAAATTACCTTTACAAGCCCTAAGAGAACGCCTCGGAGGCCTACACTCCTCGCCCTTACAAGGAACGATGGGGAGCCGACGCCACGGTGGTGGCTGGACGCCACGGCAGAGCTCCCTGGAATCCAAGAGCATGGGAGCCTTGCAGCCTTCACGGTTGAAGGGTTCAGGGGTTCTAAGGATTTAGCTTGTTTGTATGTGGGCTTTAGGTTTAGGGTATGGTTTGGGCTGAGTTGTATAAGGGTTTTTCCGGCTCTAGGGGTTGCAGCTTCCGGTTCAAAAGCCTGCCTGGGTTTTGGAGCTTTGGTTTAGGGTTGTCGCATTTCGAGTAAAGCTTGAAAAAAAGGCTTTAAGGCTTAAGGGTTCCTTCAGGTTATGGCTCCTCCACGTAAGTGTCACCACTGACTACTGCGCAGTAGGGGCCTTCAGGGAATGACTCTAAAATCAGAACCTTTGGAACCCCGAAGCCTAGATCTCCAAGGCCGGAGCCTCCAAGCTAGGTCCTTTTGCAGCGAGGCTTTGTCTTCGGGATTCACGGAGGGTTTTGAACATCCTTATTAATTGCAAAACGAAAACCTTGAGTGTAGACCGGTTCAGGAACTGACCCCATATTTCAGGCACAGAAGTCAGGAACTTCGCGGACCACAAGTCTTGACGCCACACCTCAAGCCCCAGTACCACCAATGCCCTAGACTGTAAATTGTATCACGTCCCGAAACTTACCATACTTGTCACGGTGGTCCTTGGCCGAGGTGGGATCGTGTGTTGACGAGGATGCCGCGCGGTGGCACTTCTTCGAAACCCCCGAACTCTCATTGAGTTGCCACAACCATCCCCTATAACCTATATAACCCCCATATAGCTGTACACTCCTAAACCCTAAACCCTATAACGTGTCCTATCATCCTTGTACAAGGGTTTTTATGAGCTCTGAGCTCGGATTGAGGTATCGGGTTTAGTGGCCAGGGTTTTGCCGATGTAGAGCTTTAGGGTGTATGCAGAGTTTCGGGCAGGAGCAACCACTGAAGTCTGCAGCGCAGCGCGACTACAGACCGCACCTCGAGCCCCACTGACGAAGCTGGCAGTATGTATGTTCGGTTGCTTCAGGGATTGCTGGCAAGCTAGCCCCAGCGATAGGCCGGCAGTATAATACAGTCTACAGCACGCCATACCCAAGACGCTTTCTGATCATAACAAACCACCCCCTAACACCCTACAGTCTCTAAAGCCTCTAAAGTACGTACCCTAGTCTGAACCTCTAAACCCTAAACGGCCCTAAGCCCTCTAACGCCCTCTTCTACTTCCCGAGGCTCCAACAAGCCCCTATGCCCAACAAGGCTTGTCCAAAAGGCCCCCCTGCGCAGACCAGGTTCGAGGGCAACGGCGAGCCCATGTCGAATCACGGCTGCACACTGCATCTTTGGCGTCAGGAGCTGGTGGGTGGGGCTGGCGCGACAAGATACCTCTAGAGTTTAGGCCTTGGGGATCGGGGGTTTTAGGGTTTCAGGGTTCTCTACGGCTTTAGGGATTAAGGGGTTTCAGTGTTTGGGGCTTCTCCTTTAGATGTGGGTTGCCGGCTGTCCGCTTACATGACGGCTAGCCTTTTGGTTGGCCTCACAATGGCTTTGTGACTGGCTTGCGTGGCCCACTAAATGGCTGAGAAGAAATGTTCGTGTCTCTTGCAAACTCTCCGGAACACTCCTTTATTCAGGGTTCTTTGTTGGCGTATCACAGGTTCTGCGGTCCCTAAATTGAATGCCCCCGGTCTCTTCACTTGCAGCAGCATCCAAGGATCGGTTGCTACTACTATTGCCTCGGAGGCCTCTTGCACGAACCAGGGCCCTAAGAGCATCCCGACTCTGAGTCCCTGAATAATCTACATCCTAAGCCAAAGGCTGTTACGAAAGCCCTCAGCCCTGTTATTTTGAAGCCTCCCTAAACCCTAAACCCTAAACCCAAGCGCTGTTACATCCTAAACCCCTACGAAAGCCCTCAGCCCTGATATTTTGAAGCCTTAAATCCGAAAGCTTAGAATTTAAAAGCCTCCTACCGACTTCGGCTCAGAGGGTCCCTCGGGAACTTGATTTGGGTTTAGGGCTGATACCTGTAGGGGCTTGTAGGGTTTGGGGCTTGGGGGGTGTATTCGCTTTTAGTTCAGGGTTTTCACAATCGAGTTTTTGGCTGAGTGAGCATTGTGGGCGAAGCGCTCAGGCGACTCAGGTTCACGGGCTTCGGCATCAGAAAAACACAAAAGAATTGTTCGCCTTTGGGGAATACGTGTTTTTGTCCAGGTCAGAAAGCTTGGTTTGTGTCTCTGGCCGAGACAGATTCGGCTGTTAGGGCTGTAGCATTCAGAGGTGCAGCTGGCTGGGCAGGAGGGCATGTGCACTAGAGCCCCACCACAAAAATGGCTTTAGCATTATAGGCTCGACTCAGACAGGGCTGTAGGATTTACGGTGCTCAGTCTGGAGTTTAGGGTTTAGCATTCAGATCGGGGGTTGCGGGCAAAGGGTTTAGGGTAGAAGGGTTGAACTCGTTGGATAGTTGTATCTCCAATTGGCAGCTGTCTGATAATGCAACTGCTTCACATTGTCCTCTGGCTTTAGTCTAGCAAGTTACGGGTGTCTTTGGTGATCGAGGTTGCGCCGCTCCTCCCGACGGTCCAGACGCGTGCCTCTTGCCTGCTGCAAGATCTCAACTGCGATGTTCGTTAGCGGGTCACGGTAAGTACTTCACACATTAGACCGTGATCAAAGCTTGACCGCTTGTGTGTCTGTGACTTTGTTTAGTCCAGTCCAAAAACACCGTTGGGCTTGAGACTGTTTGACCTTGACTAGCTGCTGTTGACCCCGACTCTGTCCCATTTCATGGCCTCCTCCTCGGCTATTTGGAAGGCAAAAAGCGAACAACGAGCAAGGGCAGAAACAGCCACAGCAGCAACAACATCAACAATAACACAAGCCTTCAAACTGCTAAGTCCCGAGAGTACAGCGACAGCGCCCGAGGTCCTTACTGGCACGATGCTTTGTGGGGTGCCAATGCTCATGCGTGTATCTCCTGCTGCTAGGCTTGCGATTACTCAGTACCCACGTGTCAACCGGTGGTGGTTCGTGGTTTCGATTCCCGAGAGTTTTATTTGGCAGGGTGAGGCATTAGCCTTTCGGCACTTGAGGTTTGTCACTCTGGTCTGGGGCCCCTCCTTTTGCAAGCGTGCGAGAGGGAGGCGGCTGGACAGGGGCTCTACAAGAACAACGGAGGCAGAGATAATCGAGATCCAACCGCAGAGACAGCGTCCTTTCTTCCGCGGCCCCAACCGAACGTTCCGAGTTGATATTCTAACCAGATTTCTCCGATGCAACTATCCAAAGCAGGGCATAAGCCCCCTAGGACCTGCCACCCCGGACCTGCCCCTTTTATAGTCTCTCAGATCGTAGACTCGAAAACACAGACCAAAAGCAGCATGTAAATTTCGTGGGAGCTTTGCCGAAAATGAGTGGCAAGAGGAAGCTTCAACCCTAGTTTCCTGAATCCGGCACACTGAACCTCCAAACCACTGTGGTAACTTTAGTTAGGGGCTTAGATTAGTCCTTAGTAGCTGAATGGCTGCACTTTAAACTTGTGGGTAGTATAATCCCCTATAAACTGCAAGTGTGGACTTTGTTGGGCTTACGAACTCAGAAACTAAGTAGTGTCTACGGAGTTTAGGAACTTTTGTTCAGGATTTTAGGGCTTCAGGGGGAGCTTATAGGGGACCGGAAGTCCGACATCCTATGCCCAAGGTATTGGGAGTTTAGGG